GTTTTAGAAACAAATCAAGCTCCTGCTGCTGTGATTGGCTAAAAACTCAACACGGAAGACAGGCGTCTCTTGGTGATTTACCCAATCAGCCTTAAAAAAATTACTCATTGTCCCTCCGTTTTGCGAACACTTTTAACAGGAACCAACCGTTTTTGCTCCATTCGATAAAGCCTCGAAATCGCCGCCATTTCTGACGTTTTGAATTAAAAAAGCTTCCTGGATGGGAAGAGGAAGCGTCTTCAAACTTGGAAACAAAGTCCAGTGGATTGTATTTTTTTTTTTACTTTTTTGTAATAAATATGACCTGGATGAGAATATTCACCAGCACTTTCAACAGGAGCCTTTCCAGATGATTATCTATGTAGAATTCAAATTGAACGACAGAAATCAGCCTGGTTTAGCCAAGTTAACGTTTCAGAATAAACATTATATCACACTTAACATAGGCAGTGAGCTAGTTTATCACTTATGAGGAGACATCTAAGAACAAAAAAGGATGAACTGATGTCACCCTAAACTGTGGAAGCCCAGACAGTGGATTGGTGGATTTTCCAAAAAGGAAATATTTGTAAAAAAAAAAAAAAAAAGAAAGAATTTAAATTAATAAAATTTATAAATTAGTAAAAATTGATTTTTAAGAAGGTTATTACTTCAGCAAAGATAAAGATTTTATTACCAGATTAGATGATGACTACTTTGATAAATCATTAATCCAATTACCGTATTTCCCAGACTATAAGTCGCTACATTTTCCCCATGCTTTGAACCATGCAGCTTATAAGAAAGTGCAGCTTTTTTGAGGATTTTTCCTAACGAGAGAGGGAAGTCAAAGCTCTAAATAAAAGAATAAGGGACTTATTTCAATTTAGCACAAGAACATGCTAGCAGCAGGTACGCTGAAAACAAATGTCTCGAATTCACACTTTTTGAAATTTTTTATTGCCTCATTAAAGCTGCAGAACCAATGAAAAGACTGGGCTCAATTCCTGAAGAGCTAAAAATAAAGAGCTGATGAAGCCCCATCGTTCATTAGAAGCTCTTACTGCTGCGAGACAACAAGCTAACGAGAGCTAGCATTCCTATTTGTCCCTACTCCAGGGGCTTTATGTAGAGCTCCCCCTACAGGTGTGGTGGGAGACAGTTCAGGAGATATCAGCAGCTTATAGCCCGGTGCAGCATATCTTGCATATTTCGTTTTCCGTTTTTTTTTTTTTTTTTTTTTGTTGGTTTTGGTTTTTTTTGGGTTTTGTTTTTTGTTCGGGTTATTCGGTTATTCATTTCGGCCTTCTTATTTTCTTTTTTTTCGTTGTTTTAAAAAAAAAAAAACATCCTTAACGAACTAACAAACTTTCATTTTTTTCTGCTTTACTATATTTCCATGCATAAAACATGTCTCCTGTTTTATGAACAAAGTAAGTCAATTATCATTCTTTGTATCCTAACAGCTAAAGGTCTTTTTTCCCCTCCCTCTCATTGCATTAATCTCCTGGACATCTCTCTGCATCCTCCAATCATCTCCGTCTCTGTCTCAGCTTTATTCCTGGCTGGTATAGAGCAGCAGTGAAAGATATCTGCTGAACCCACAGTCACGGCGCGAGGAACAGCAGTTGACAGAGAAACCACCAGATCTGATTCGGCTGCAGAGCAAAATGAACACTTGGAATTACACGACCCGCTTTGATCAGGGGGATGAGTGCCATCATCTGCTGCATGCATATGAATGGCACCATCCTAAAAAACTACTCAGTTTAGTTCGTATTTCTGATTGAGTAAACACTTTGATGACATTACTTTTCTTTTATTATTTAGGGTTGGGTTTTTTTTCATCAATTGCCTCTTCACCCAGGCTGCAGCTTTTATTTCCTCTCATTTCAGAGTGCTAATGCCACCCAAGTGCCAACCAGAGGAGCCTTAATCAATTCACTGTCGTGAGCAGCAATGATGCCTTTCAACTCTCTTCTTTTTAAATGAGATTTGCACCAGAAAGAGGCACCGGCCGGCTGCATTCACAGTGAGAAGGGTCTTTTAGCTCTCTCAAGTCGGCCCTTTCTGATGTTGGTGTCCATGCCTGCATGCATGTCTGTTAGTTTGTGTTTGCAGAGTTAGATGCAGCAGATGCTACAGCTGAGGGGAGCCACACATAAAGCCTTGATTTTCAGTGATGAGCAGATCAGCAGCAATAGATTCCTCCCCCAATGTCTTTCAACTCATGATGTCAGAAATTGATGGTCTGCATTAACACAGCCTGGGGGCTTTTGAGAGGCAATGGATGAGAGATCCAAGCTGACAGAAAAAGACAGAGCAAGTGGAGGGAGAGAAAACTGAAACACAAAACAAAGCAAAGTGCTGGCTTTCCTGGAGCATGTCCACAAGTTGAATTGGCTGTCAAGCAGAAATTAAAGGCGTCATGTGACTATTTTGTGTTGCACAACATCCCTGGCCAGTAAATAGATCTAAAGTAAAACAGCTGCAGCAAATGATCAGCTCTTTTATGGTTAACAATATGAAATATGGAGGCTTCATTTGGCTCCACAAAACCTAATAAAGTTTAAAAAAAACGGTTAAATTACACAATAAAAGCAAAGATTTAAAGCAACATTATAAACTCCTCCTGTTTGTTTTTTTTTTTTCTTGTATATATATTTTTGTTGTTGCAATAAACCAGCAGCTACTCCTAAAACAACCAAAAGTAAAGAGAAACCTCCACAATAGTCAAATTGAACTCACTAAAGCCGAGTCCTGGGAGATTCTGTCGTTAGGAAACCTCCAGAGATGTTGGTGGGAGAAGGCCAGCTCCACGACTGGGCCACGCGTGGCCCTCTCACGCCCAGATGTCACAAGCTGGTCCGACCTGAATGTACAGTTGAGCGTCGCTCCGCCGCTGTGAGCGCGTCTCTGTACTAACATCACCTGCCATGTGATAGGCGCGACGCCTTCACGGACTGCTCGGATTTCTCAGCACCCTTAACTTGGATAGAACTCCAAATATTTCTTTAAACCGAAATATCTTATTTAAAACCAAACATTTAAAGTAAAGTAAATAAATGAGAGTTGGAACAAAATGTTTTGAATTTGTGCTGCACGTTTTTATTGTGGGTGGTTAACAAAACTAAAAACTAATATGTTTAGATTGTAGGGACTTTTTATTGTTGAGTTAGAAAAAA